AGTTGTGGCTGTGCCTATTTTATCCAAATTGGCGTGGCTTTCCTTTTAGGTTTCCTTCACCACAAAAAGAGTACCGTCAGAGAAAAAACAACAACAACTGCAATTGTGGAACAGCCTCGCCCGCCGTTGGGGGTGCCAAAAACTTCGAACCTCCTTGGCTTAGTCACCACCCGAAAGTTTGTCTTGCTGAACCCTTAGGGGCCCCAAAGACTCATCAAACCCGCCGGTACGTCCCAACGCTAAAGCAACCGTGCCATCGTGCGCAAAACGAGTGCCATGCAGCATCCGGACCAAAACTCCCAAAAGTTGGAGGGATATTTCGGTCGAAGCAAAGAACCCCCTCGCTTTTCTCTTCAGGGCTGCTCCCAAGACCTTGTAATCAAGTCCAAGGGACATCAGCCCTGTGGATCCGGTTGGCACCACTTAAGAAACCCTTTTCTGAGTCGATTCCTTTGTAAATACCGGCAAGTCATGGTTTCAACCATGGGGATTTCGTCCATCCACAGTAGATCATCTTTTGCAGGCTCCTTGCTCGGGGTCTCTGTGCCCCCCAAAAACCAATGCACGACCCGACGCTCTGCCTGTAGCCCCTGCACCGGCACTGACAGCCTTAGGCACCGGTTCGATGACTGAGATCCGGCAAACGCAGACGCGAGAAGGTCAATAGGGCTTTGTAGGGCTTTTCCAAGACCCTTAGAGGATTTGACCATGAGAGGAAACCGTTTTGTTGGGCAGCACCACGCCAAACAGATTCGTTGGCGTTTGTTAAACTGCTACAAAATCCCAATGATGAACCAGAAAGGTGAAGGTTCAAGGTTCTCGATAGAGGCACGGTCCATATATGAATTAATTGTCTAATCATTGGAGTTTGGTCTCCCTTCTTTCCCTTCACTACGCTGGATCTTGATCGTTGCTCGTTATACGTGTCTCTTGTTGAGGGGACTGCATTCTGGTTGATGTTTTTTGCAACAAACCAAATGACCCACCATTGGCTCGATGCGAGCGCGAGCGCGAGCCCAATTCGGACCATGGAGCGCTGGAGTGATGGGCCGCTCATTGTGTGCCCCGGAATTCTCAGATGGTTCCCACCCAAAACTGAAGATACTGTGGATGGACGAAATCCTGCACCGCCTAAGAAACCCTGGAATGATGACTCCCCTGTATATACCAACAAACAATGGTTTCGCACGGTTTCAAACTGGTGCAGGATTTCGTCCATCCACAGTGTGCTTGAAGTGTCACGGGATATACAAGAATTATGTGTCTAGAGTCAGACATATACTCATTTTTCCGCGGGCGAAGAGCCTTGGGTGACCCAATGGCGGTGAGTAATCCCCGTCTCCTAGTGGCATTTTGGCGTGCGCCATGTCATGCTCTTTGCTACAAATGACAGCCAATACTCACCATTGCTCAGCCTCTCATCGTGGAGTGCATACGGTCAATTGCCCCTCGCGGGCTACAATTTATGCTCTGAGAAACTGACCCCAATAGTTTGCCAGTCAGAGTCATGGGATTGGGGGTTTGGAGGGATTCCGCACTTACCATCGACAAGAACCAGTGTGCCAGGGTTCAACCGCCAAACCAATCCAAACCAAAAAAAAGAAGGGTAAGTTGTTTAATGGAAACAACCCCACTTTCTGACCAACATCTGAAAGGGGCCACTTAAGGTGCCAGGCAGCGCATGGTGATCTCGAATCCTGCCCTTTTCCTCAAGGCTACAGCTCCTTGAAATAGTGTATTTGACATTGATCATTTCTCTCAGGCAAAACAACAGATCACCTGCAACCGGATGGCATTCAACAACAGTCCAACCAATCAGTAGCTTGTCTACTTGCAATGCTCGCAGCTCCAAACACACCGTCCACACCGGACAACTCCAGCATAGGGCTTGACCTAGCTCATGGGTACCGTTTTCTCAGGCGGGTTTCCAGGGGATATCCAAAGACCAGCCATGTTGGGTCCTAGCCCCCGGGTTTTTTTAAGCCACGTCCACATGCTTAGAACATGTTGGGCCTGCGAGGTTTCGCAGCCGGGAGGGATGCAGTATGGAAACCAAAATGGGATTCTTCCAAACTTGCTTTGCCTTTTTCTGGGTGCCGTTGATGCTAAAAGATGTTGAAACTGCAGGATTCGAGTGCTAGGTGCCCTGATTGGGTGCCAGGACAATCTAGGACGTAATCCCCATGTCACAATTCTTCAAAAATCCCAAAAACTGAAAGACGGGATCTCGGAGAAAAGGACCGCATCCACATGGGTATGGGTCAACATGCGTCACCCGGGAATTTTTGGGTTGTCCTCAGCCCATGTGCCGATCTGGCGCTTGCCATGCACCTACGCAGCTTCCTTTCAATTGATTTGGATTGGTGGCTTGGTGGTTGAGGAGGGGTTTCCCATCCACCCTGGCGGACCTAGCTACCCAGTTTTGACACACCTGAGGCCTGCACCCGAGCAAGGGGTACAGGTCTCGAGCAGTCGAGCTCGAGCTCATGCAAGCCTCAAGCGCCGAAAGCACCATGAGCACCGCCCAAGCGTCTGGTTCGGCTTCTGGCACCCGGGTGTTTGCTTTTGGAGGGAGCCCTTTTTGGAGTTCAAGGAAATCCCAAAACAACTAGAGGACGATTGGCCCGAAAGCATTTTTCCACAGGCGCTCATCCAGCCGCGGAGACACCTTTTTACATCGCTGCGGCGAGCGTGTCTGCGCGCGGCGATGCTCAGTGTGTATGGTCACATGAGAGCTCCATCTCATCATCCTACTTTCCTCTCGAACTGCGCCGCGCGATTTCTCACGAAAGTGGTCTGCGCAAGCTGCATTGTTCCAGGCTGCTGCGCGCAAGTTGCTCTCTGCAAGCTGCTGCACGCTGCTGCACGCAAGTGCTCTGTGCAAGTTGCTCTGCGCAAGTGCTCTGAGCAAGTTGCTCTGCGCAAGTGCTCTGCGCCAGTTGCTCCGCGCAAGCGCTTTGCGCATGTGCTCTGTGCAAGTTGGTCTGTGCAAGTTGCTCTGCGCCAGTTGCTCCGTGCAAGCGCTTTGCGCATGTGCTCTGTGCAAGTTGCTCTGCGCAAGTGCTCTGAGCAAGTTGCTCTGCGCAAGTGCTCTGCGCCAGTTGCTCCGTGCAAGCGCTTTGCGCATGTGCTCTGTGCAAGTTGGTCTGTGCAAGTTGCTCTGCGCAAGTGCTTTGTGCAATTGCTCTGTGCAAGTTGCTCTGCGCAAGTTGCTCTGCGCAAGTGACTCTGCGCAAGTTGCTCTGCGCAAGTGCTGCCGGAGCTGTGGGAATGTACTTCGCATACTACTTTTGTACTTAAAAGTTGCGATTTTCCAGCCGGAGCTGCGGGGGTGTGCTCCGCGTACTACGTTTGTACTTAAAAAGTTGCGCGGGAGCACGCTCCGCATACTACGTCTGTACTTAAAAGTTGCGATTTTCCAACCGGAGCTGCGGGAGCACGCTCCGCATACTACGTCTGTACTTAAAAGTTGCGATTTTCCAGCCGGAGCTGCAGGAGCACGCTCCGCGTACTACGTTTGTACTTAAAAGCTGCGATTTTCAAGCCGGAGCTGCCGCGGACCAGGGGGAATCGAACCCGCGACCGCGGGATTGCGAAAGCAGGCGCGCGAGCCACGAGACAACTTCCAAAGGCCATTTCGCCGAGCAACAAAAACGCACGGCGCCACAGCGAGAGCGCTTCGACACGCACGATCCCCGCAGAGGGTCGCGCGCGGCTTGCAGAAATCGAAAAAGTCCTCAGTTTTTGAACCTCGACCACGCGAATCTCCGCAGAGGGTCGCGCGCGGCTTGCAGAAATCGTAAAAAGTCCTCAGTTTTTGAACCTCGACCACGCGAATCTCCGCAGAGGGTCGCGCGCGCTTGCAGAAATCGTAAAAAGTCCTCAGTTTTTGAACCTCGACCACGCGAATCTCCGCAGAGGGTCGCGCGCGCATGCAGAAATCGTAAAAAGTCCTCAGTTTTTGAACCTCGACCACGCGAATCTCCGCAGAGGGTCGCGCGCGCTTGCAGAAATCGTAAAAAGTCCTCAGTTTTTGAACCTCGACCACGCGAATCTCCGCAGAGGGTCGCGCGCGGCTTGCAGAAATCGTAAAAAGTCCTCAGTTTTTGAACCTCGACCACGCGAATCTCCGCAGAGGGTCGCGCGCGGCTTGCAGAAATCGTAAAAAGTCCTCAGTTTTTGAACCTCGACCACGCGAATCTCCGCAGAGGGTCGCGCGCGGCTTGCAGAAATCGTAAAAAGTCCTCAGTTTTTTGACCTCGACCACGCGAATCTCCGCAGAGGGTCGCAATCCCGAGCGACGATCAAACTCCCGGCCCGGCACCTTAGAAACCTAGACTAACTTACATAGCTGCTAGCGCCGAAGCTCTACGCAAGCTCTACCTAACCTTGGCTCTGTGCCACCTGGCTCTGTGTCACTTGGCTCTATGCAACTTGGCTCTATGTAACTTGGCTCTATGTAACTTGGCTCTATGTAACTTGGCTCTATGTAACTTGGCTCTATGTAACTTGGCTCTATGTAACTTGGCTCTATGTAACTTGGCTCTATGTAACTTGGCTCTATGTAACTTGGCTCTATGTAACTTGGCTCTATGTAACTTGGCTCTATGTAACTTGGCTCTATGTAACTTGGCTCTATGTAACTCTCTATGTAACTTGGCTCTATGTAACTTGGCTCTATGTAACTTGGCTCTATGTAACTTGGCTCTATGTAACTTGGCTCTATGTAACTTGGCTCTATGTAACTTGGCTCTATGTAACTTGGCTCTATGTAACTTGGCTCTATGTAACTTGGCTCTATGTAACTTGGCTCTATGTAACTTGGCTCTATGTAACTTGGCTCTATGTAACTTGGCTCTATGTAACTTGGCTCTATGTAACTTGGCTCTATGTAACTTGGCTCTATGTAACTTGGCTCTATGTAACTTGGCTCTATGTAACTTGGCTCTATGTAACTTGGCTCTATGTAACTTGGCTCTATGTAACTTGGCTCTATGTAACTTGGCTCTATGTAACTTGGCTCTATGTAACTTGGCTCTATGTAACTTGGCTCTATGTAACTTGGCTCTATGTAACTTGGCTCTATGTAACTTGGCTCTATGTAACTTGGCTCTATGTAACTTGGCTCTATGTAACTTGGCTCTATGTAACTTGGCTCTATGTAACTTGGCTCTATGTAACTTGGCTCTATGTAACTTGGCTCTATGTAACTTGGCTCTATGTAACTTGGCTCTATGTAACTTGGCTCTATGTAACTTGGCTCTATGTAACTTGGCTCTATGTAACTTGGCTCTATGTAACTTGGCTCTATGTAACTTGGCTCTATGTAACTTGGCTCTATGTAACTTGGCTCTATGTAACTTGGCTCTATGTAACTTGGCTCTATGTAACTTGGCTCTATGTAACTTGGCTCTATGTAACTTGGCTCTATGTAACTTGGCTCTATGTAACTTGGCTCTATGTAACTTGGCTCTATGTAACTTGGCTCTATGTAACTTGGCTCTATGTAACTTGGCTCTATGTAACTTGGGTCTATGTAACTTGGCTCTATGTAACTTGGCTCTATGTAACTTGGCTCTATGTAACTTGGCTCTATGTAACTTGGCTCTATGTAACTTGGCTCTATGTAACTTGGCTCTATGTAACTTGGCTCTATGTAACTTGGCCCTATGTAACTTGGCTCTATGTAACTTGGCTCTATGTAACTTGGCTCTATGTAACTTGGCTCTATGTAACTTGGCTCTGTGCAACTTGGCTCTGTGCAACTTGGCTCTGTGTAACTTGTCCAAGGGCTCGGCACGGAAGAACCCTTCGCGATGCTTTCGGGAAAAAGCCACCTTATGTTTTCCTTTCTGGGGGGGGGTGCTTCTATTCTTTGACACCTACCCAAATGGTCTAGGAATGGTTTAGGGGTAGTTGAGCTGCGGGCATGCGGACTTCCAGCCTCATGCGGTTCGCTCGGTTTTTGTGTTGGTTACAACTTCTGGTTTCATGTTGGTCTCCTTTCGGATTGCCTTTGGTTTGTCGGTTTCCGTTTGTCCGTTTTTTTTTTTTTTTTGGGGGGGGGCTGCCCGTTTTCAGATCCACTGCTCAAAGTTTAACTTTTCGTGACTTAAATGTGGACATGTTCACCAAACCCTTAAAACAAAAACACAAAGCTAAGGAACGCTTTTAATGGACAGTTTCACTAAACCCTAAAAACCCAAAAAGCTTTTTGAACCGCATGGCTGGTTGAGCCACCAAGGTTTCGATTTCTTTCGGATTCCTCTTCGATGCTGGGTGCCAGGCCAAAGACGCGGTCCGGGCAGTCACTGCCTGATGGCAGCCCCATGGTTTGATGTGGCCGTGGCTCAAAAAAATGGAACCCTGGTAAGTGGACACATGGACAAAAAAAACCTGCAGTTTGCCCCCGTTTAATTTTGAGCCACACCCATGTTGGTTTCCTTTAAACGCGAACCAAAAGGGGTGCCCCAAAAAAAGGAAGCCTCATAGCTGGGTATGTTAGAATAGGGGACTCAGGTGGGTGGTTTCCTCTTGGTTTCCCTTTAACATCTACCCCCGTAAAAAAAGGCTGCAGACTTCTTGCGGTTGAGTTCTTTCTCGCAGACTGAAAGGGGACTTCTCACCATGCTGAAATCTGAAATTCCTGCGTCCCGGCTCAAACAACGCCGTCCCCATTTAAGGTTTTCCCGCAAAGAAGACACCGAGTGGATCCCAGGTACAAGCTACAACAGGCAGTCACTCACTTTCCTTTCGGCTTTGAAAGGGTGGTTCTCTTGGTCTAACTTCCGATCGAGTGGATTGGCAAAAATCAATTCCGAACTTTTCGTTTAGCAGTAACATGGTCTTCCCAACAGTTTAAAGTCCAGGAGCTCAGGGAGTGAGTGGCTACCAACTCAGGGAGCTGCCACCAAGAGGAATCTCCTGCAAACAAACTTCCTTGCAAATTTGATGTTTGAACCAGCTTGGGGCTTGCCGTAAGAGGGAAACCGAAGCAACAGGGCCCCAGTGTGACCTATGGACGTTTGGTTTCAGCCAAATGGACAAGGTTGCTTTCAAACAATTATCATTTTGAACTATTAGTTGTTACAACTGTGGTGAGTTCGTTGCACCCCTCCATGTTGGTTTCCCTTTGTCCTATGGGGTTCCCTTTGAACGAACCAATCTTAGTTTTCCCACTCCCTTTCACTGTCTCCCCACCAAGTGCAAACAGCTCATTACTTTGCTGGTCTGGAAGATAACATGCTCCTGCACCCAAGGACGTTGCGAGCCTGGGGATCCTGGGTGTTGGCCAAGCCAAGTCCACCATACCTGGCGAGAGGTCAAGAGGTGTTCCCCCAAAACGGCAAGAAATTTGGTCCTTTTGGCTTCCGTTTTTTCTGTTGGGGTGGTGGGGGGTGGTGCGGGGTGGTGGGGGGTGGTGGGGGGGCAATTCCGTTCACCGACAACCTTGACGCAGGCCTCTGCTGTTTTCACACAAACAAAATTCATGCTTGGCCAAACAATTGCTTGATACGCGCTGGTAATTTTGCCCAATCAAAATTCCTGACTTGGCGGAAACAAAAACACTGTGCATCTTTGTCTTTCTGGCAGTATGTTAAATGCCGGCAGTACAACTGGAATTGTCCTCTTGCGTGGCCACTTTTCACAAGCCATTGGGTGTTTCGCACATCTGCCAATTGCGGAACATCCCCCAGCGAGGAGCTGACATGTCAAGCGCCTATGTGATGCCAAAAGAACCATGCTTACATTCTACCATGGAAAAGCTGTCTTAAGTCTGAAGTTGTGAAGTGGCTTAGTTTTCCGGTGCTGGTTTTTGTCCCTGAACGATGCCATTGCTTCCTACACAAACTTGCATGCAATGTTGTAAACACCCAATTTACAGCCATGTTCTTGCAAAAAGGTCCGTCCCCTGAAAAAAATGTAAACAACACCACGGTCAGATAAAGGTCTAAGACCAACTAAAAGGGGTTCGTTTGGAGATGTCCATGTGGAGAAGCTCCCATTCAACAGGATGGCACAAAACCCTTGGGCTGCTGGTTCAGCCGATGTGAGCAACTGCACCCAACTCCACAAATGGAATCTAGCCCTCCAACTGCCGAAAAGCAGCCAAAAGGCCCACCTTTCTTAGGGACAAAGGGGTAGGCGACTTCTTTTTTTTGTGCAAGGACAAATTGGAACGGTCGCTTGGGGCAATTCGAACTTGGGGCGACATGTTGGCAACATGCTGTTTGCTTGCCCGTTGCAATGGTTTTCGTCGTGGCACATGGTTTATCCTGGTCTAGGCATGTGCTGTCAAAGGGGATCTTTGTTGCAGCCGCGCACTACATCCGCAAATGACTGATGCGATGCAGACATTCGTTGGCGCTGCCGCGCTGATGCTGCAGCGCAAGAAAGGAAAAGCAAAGAAGATAAGACACGCCAAGTGACAAATGTGTTCAGGTTGCGTAACAGACGTAGCACTGGGGGTGGAAAGTGAAACTGCACTGTGCGTGTTTCGGGGAAGCGCAAACCACCTCTGGTGCAACACCTGTTTTTCGTGGGCACGAGTTCGGAACGGGTGCTGAATGGATTGGCACGACTAATGCCACCAATTCTGGATTCAGGTGATCCAACATCCTCGAAATGAAACAGCGCATGCATGTAGAGCGGGTTGACACCCCGAGGAGAGCACAGACGAGAGCACAGAAGACGACAAGCAACGCAAGGTACAGCCAGATCGCCAGAGATAGCGGAGACCAAACCAAACCACTATAGAGGAGGAACCAACCCTCAGAACAATGGCAAGACCAGTGCTTTGGCACTGGAACCGCGCGTGCCCAAGTCGCAAAAAAGCTAAGAAGGGGGGGGGGATCTTGCCATCGTTGGTGAGCTGGTGGGGCTAGGCATTTGAATATCCTTGCTAGCCAAAGGACATGAGGTGGATTCCCTTTGTTTGACCATAGGGTAGACATCAGTGCTGGGCAAATTCGTGAAATTTACAGTCTCTGGTTGCCTTCAGAACTCCAAAAGGAGGTTGCTCAAGTGGTTGCAACATGTACAAGGGCCAATCAACCGGCGCCTGTTGAGACCCTCCTCCGTCCCAACGGTTTCCATCATGATGCAGAGCCTGCCCGGCAAGAAGGCAAGGCCGTTCCAATTGCTGGGTCTGTTTTTGGCCCAGATCCCAAAGTTTTGCCCCCCAGATATTAGTAGGTATGCAGCCATCTTCCATTTTGCTCAAAGTTGGGTTCTGCAGGAAAACCCGATGACATCCTAGAAAAAACCCACTGGCTATGCCAGCTTTTTCAATGGGTTCTGCAGGAAGATGGATCCAGTGGCTACCTGCAACACATGTGTTCTCACCTTGAGGCCTGGAGAGCCCAGGAAACCACGGGGCCTGTAGAGCGGTGGGTTACATGGACACCCGCGCTGAGCCTAACGCACAAATCTCAAAGAAACATAAGCCATGAATCTTCAAGGTGCCCTACATGGAATTAAAACCTGTCCGAAACCGGTAGGCCGCACCATTTGCACAGTCACAGCCCAGGTCTTTCTTGAACATACGCGACCCCCAACAATTGTCTTTCCCTCTGTTTTTTTGGCATTGACACCAACCCACATCAAGGCACCTCCCCCCCAAAAAAAACAACAACAACACCTGGTCATGGGTACCTGCCCGCTTACTTCGATTTCTGCGACTTCGCTTCGCAAGGTTCCTGACCCGCGGGGTTCCCGATCAGGGTAGAAAATTGGCCCCTGAACAAGGAAAACAGCCAGACCCAATACCGACACGGGTGTCTCTCAAAAGAGGAACCGGACCCCCCGAGTTTTGGTGGTTGTCCCTTTCTTCCATTTAAAACCACCTAACCACGCGCACACACACACACACATTTGGTTGTGCCTATTTTTTGGGACCCACCAAATGGTGGTTGTCCTGTTATTTCCCTTTAAATGCACCAAGAAAGGGGGTTCCCCTCGCAAAAGGACAGTTCCTCTTAGATACGGTACGCGTGTTAGGTACCACTTAAATGCTGAAACCAACATGCTGGGTGCCCTAAGGTTGCATTTGAAAAGGTCTGGAAACGACACGAAAATTTGCTATAACCGTTTGGGTTTGTCTTTTTGTTCGAGGGGTGCCCCTTGTTTGCGGTTTGAAAAGGAACACCATGCTTGTTTGTTTTTTCATTTTACTATTTTAATATTTTATGTTTATTGTTATTTTTGTTTTGAGGGGGTACCAAGAGAGACCCATGTCCTCTACAACCTGACAAACTTCCATGTGCATTCCGTGCGCCTTTTCATTAACTCCCAGTTACGGTTTGTGGCATGCCTTAGCTTTGGGTCCGGCAGGTGGTTGCTTGAGTGAGGCCCTGCTTGGGTGACATGAGGAATCTCAGGATCCATTCCTTGTGAAGACTGGATTGCTCCGAACCTGCAACCAATGACCAAACCGCAAGGGGAGAGGATGGGTGTTTCCTTTCTTGAGAAGTAATAGGCGGTGTCCCTAGACAACAGCACCCAACAAGAACCGAATCAGAACTCGACGCACCCAAATGAGTCACAAGAAGAACGCACTTCCAAAAAAGGTCTACTCAAATCTATGTAAATAATTTGAAGGGCGGGTATTCAGGCGTTAACTGCTGTTTGGATCATTTTGGTCACAACTAAGGTTGACACCTTGACAACCACATCAGGGGGAAATCCGATTTTGTCCGACGGCCCCCTTTCAATGCCTAGCGCCTGGATCCATTGACCTAACCAAGGATCCATGACCCGTATCCATTTGGATTCTCTTCCAAAACGGGGCTTCCCACCATGCTAGGATGGAGGGTCAGGCAGGAAGCATTCCTGCCCTTTGCCTGGGACAATTTTCTCAGGGGACCTTTCATCCTCGAACATCTTCGGGGCAAATGATTGCAACACCAAAATATAAGGGACCCAGGCAATGGTTCATTGCTTTTTAACATGTTTCTAACATATTTGATACAATTTCTAGCATATTCATAACAATTGTTACATAAATTGTCAAACATGTTATTATGCTACATATAGGTTAATTACATTATGAATATGTGTTGCTTACCCCCCAAAGGACCTACCTTGCCCAAATGTCCTGACTTGGCGAGCTTGGCGATACGGATATGGTCCCTTCAGTGTTTGTTGCACACGCCAAAAAGAACCTCCAGAATACGGGATAAATCAGGCTTTGCCTCCTTGTGCCAAAAGTTGGGACCCGGAAAGCGTCGGTTTTCCTTTTCTTTCGGTCCAACCCCTCCCCCAAAAAAACAACAACAACAACCCAATAAAAACAAAACCAAACAAACAGACAAACAAACAACAAAAGTAAAGGTCAACAAAGCTGGTTCGAGGTCACTCCGCGCTTTTTGTGTGGGAAAGCGGAAGGCCCTGAGGACCCTTCTGCCGGCGAGGCTGGGGCGCCCAGCTCTTGGCCCAGCGCGGCGGCCGCAAAGGCGAGCAGGCCCAAGGCCGCCCCCAGCAGAGCCCCCAGGCACCCCCCGCACCTCAGCGGCGAAGCGGAAAAAAAAATCGCCGCCCGCCCGTCGAGGTTTCGAAATACAAAACACATCCCCCCCCGGAAACAAAACAGCTGCAAATCCAACAAAGTCCCCAGAAAAGCTGCAAAACAAAATGCGCGGTTCAAAGCTTGTCTCCACAAAATACTCACCCCCCCCGAAATTGGGCGGTTTGTCTCCGAAGCAAACGCGCCAAATCGCAAAAGGACCCAGTGCCCAGGGTGTTTTCATGGCGCTTCCTTCAAAAACCACGGCTTCCGCACTGGTTTTTTGCCGCACTTGGGGCACTGCCAGCCGAAGGCTGCCCACTGCGGGGCAGGGTGGTCCTCCAAACGTCCGAACGTGGACGAATGCGAGACTCGAGTTGCTTCTTGTCACAGAATTCCGAGAATGTGGGTTCCTTGGATGCAACATTGCAAGAGAACAAGGGAACCCCGGGTAAATTCCATGGTTTGTGGCTGTTTTACTTGCAATATTAAGGGCATCTACCGTAGGTGGTTTGTTTGCTAGCAATTCTCCTAGTTTGCTGCTACGAGAAGGGGTTGCCTGTTGATATGTTGCTGCTGTAGGAATTCAGGGGATTCAGTATTGCTTGAGTGTGGTTCCCTACTTTAGTGGCAACTGGAAGCAGCTGTGGTGAAACACCTCGAGCCTACATAGCAAAAGCACGGTGAAGAAACATGAACTCAACCGCTTGCCGAGGAACCGCACAGGGAAGACGAAAAACGACTTGCAGCTGTGCAAGAGGGGCTCCCCACTTATCTTGGCCATCTGGGGTACTCCGAAGTTAATTCGAAGACAACCGTAAAGATCACCTCGTTTGGAGGAGACCTCAGTTCTGCGTTAAGAGGTTGCCCGTTTTGAGGGCTTCCCCCCGAAGATCCGCCATTTCGCCAGCCAGCCACCCCGCTCCTTCCGATCGATTTTGCACCTACGCAGGCAGCAGCACCAGTGGAGGCTGTAGAAGATGAAGACCAAACCAATCTCGGGGCGAATCATTCGGTACCGTGGCGCTCCAAGGCCCCCTAAGCACAAGGCCTACGTAACTTTACAACCCTTGCTATGGGCTTGCATCAAGAAAACTGTGCTTGTTGCAGCCCCCCTACACAAAATGAACAGAACCTAAAAACCTCAAAATCTAAGAACATGCCAACAGCAGTGAAGGTAACCTTGTGTAGGTTTAATGGAAAAGCCAGTTAAGTCCAAAAGGAAGGGGTGATTTGGCCACACCAAATACCAGGCAAGTAAAGGGAAACCAACAGGAACACCACCCCAACATGGGGGTCTCCCAGTTGTTTGGAGATAACCCCACTGCCATGCGCTGCCATGGTCAAAACTCCCAATGTGGCTGACGTCATGGTGCCCCCAATCCCTGCCACGTCCAAAATCTCTCTGGGGATGAACATTTTCCTTCCCACCATTCAAGCAAAGGAGCCCCGGTTCTGACTTCGGCACGCCTGGATGCACAGTCCTTGTTTCTGATTGACCAAGAGCTGTGAAATAATGTGAGCCTCACTTGTTTGGCGACACAACTAGGGAGTGGAACCATTGGATGTGCCTTTTTGGCGGGGACGCCTGTTTTTCTGGCTTTAAAGGGAAACCAAAAAGGAAAGCCACCCAGATACACCTGTCTTCAAGGTCCTCTTTTGAAAGACATACCCCAAATGTGGAACCCGGTCCGCAAAACTCTGGGTGCGCTGGGCATTGCAATAGCAGACCGCTGAGAATGGCCAAGGGGTGATCTTGAAATCCCAGGAGCCTCAATGCAAGCCGGACATAAGTTGGACACCCTCTAGGACCGTAAGGAGTGGGTTTCAGTGCCTCGTCTCCCCCCCTGAACCTAAGAAACCCTGGAATTTCTGACTCCCCTGTGAATACCAACAGATGGTTTCCCCTGGCTTCATTTCCTGGTGCGAGACGGATTTCGCAACCATCCCAATAAGATCCGACCCCCTGACCTCAGCCCAGAGCTGCTGCGCGCTTTTTTCTCTTCGCGGATCCACAGCTCCTCTGACTCTTCCTGTTCCGGTCGCCGCAAGCGGCGGAAGGTCACGGAGATACGGCGGCCCGGGGGTAGCTCAAAGTCGCCCAGCCTGGCGAAGACAAACCAAAGCGAGCCCATCTCCCTAAAAGACAACGAAGGGCAGACTTTAAAATAGGAACATAGCTGCTGAGTTTTACTGGGATCTCTGAATATTACCTGCCTGCCCTGAAAAAAGTCACCTGGCGTTTTCAACTTGCGGTTTCAACTCCTGAAACGAGTGCCGGGAAGGGAACTTGATGCTCGATCCATTTCTTGTGCAAATCACTGCAACCCGAAGCGATGGTTTGGGATCCTTCTCCTCCCATGCGAAAGTTGGATTGGACCAATGATCCCAGAGGTACACTGGAGATCAAATAAACAGGTTCAGAAAGCTTGGGAGTCGCTTTGGGCAGGTAGGCCCTGAAGTGGTTCGGAGCCAGAGATCCGGAAGAGTTCCAGATCATGGCTGTTGGGGATACGTGAGCGACCAACATCCATGGACTTTTTCTACCAAGATTGGTTTCAAGGTTTACATGGATGTCTTTTTGTTGGGGGTACCGAATCTTTTTTGGGGTGGCCTTAAATGGAGACCACAAAGAAACAAACAGTCTGAGGGTCAAATAGACACACACACACACACACCTCGCCCTCGCCCCCCTGAAACCGGCCTGTGAGGGCCAGGCTGAATTCCGTGCTTCCACTTCCATCGCGCATGCCCCGAGAAGACATAGGCAGATCCCTCCTCGCAAAAAAAGAACACCGTCTTAGGGACCGAAACCAGCATGCGGCTCGGTCTTTTCTTGACAAACCCATTTTTGTGGTGGGTTCAAAGGGACGCCAAAAGGACAACCCGCTTTTTCAGGGGCCAAGCTGCAAAAAAACGAGCCACCCACATGGTGGTAACCTGGGTATGAGTTTAAGTCGGCTGGAACCTTTGGCCCTTGGACATCGAAGCGGAACAAAGCCATTGCTCAGCCTTTTGGTGGTGTGGTGCCCGGTGGTTTGGTGGGATAAGGGATACCACCAAGTAAGGGGACCCATTTTCACGCAAACAAAAACATGTTCAAGGGTGAACAAAGCCACTACTCAGCCTCCCCCTGGTTGGTGGTTGGGAGCCCGGTGGTTGGGAGCCCGGTGGTTTGGTGATTATCAAAAGATTGCTTCCGATTTACCTTCTACAAGAACCAGAAGTTCAAATCCCCAAACCACCAATCCAAAACACCAATCAAGGGGTACCTGAACTACATTTCGGATAGCAACCTGGTATTTCGAAGGGTCTGCCCCAAGTCTTAAACAATCAATGGGGCTTCTTGATCGCCCATTGATTGGGACTCTGCCCCCTCCATATGCGGATACGTGCCCTGGAAAAAAATGGAAGTATGTCCACTAGTGACAGCTTCCCTTCAACACCACCAGAGTGTTTTTTTTAAAGCTGGCAAAGTTCCAACTGATCTTGATGTCTTGCAAGCTCAGCTCCACGGCGCAGGAACAGCCTCCACAGTTCGCTTTTTGGATTCCATTTGAGTAAGGCAACCATGGCCGTGCCGATCCCTTAGGTCCTGCGGGTGGATCACGCGTGGCGTGCCGTAGAATTGCCGTGGTTTGCAACGCGGTTTATCTACTCCTGGAAGGTCGGTTTCCATGCTCCGAAGTTTCTGCTGCGCTTGCTTGTTGGGCACCCAATGGTTTGCCTGCGAGCGGTTCCCAAAATCCCAATGCTTTCTTCTAGGACGGGGGCTGGGGGTGAGGAGGAAGCATGCAACACACGGTGCATGCAGTCTCAGAATGCTCTTGCACTAGCTGCTGGATCAACATGCCTGCAATTTACGGTTTTCTCGTCGCAATCCAACCTGACGTTGAACTAGTTGGCAGCCATTGCGGGCGGCTTGCATTTTAAACCGCGTTTCCATATCCGCACGTAAGGGGAGATATTGATCTCGGAAAAAACCTGCTTGCAGCCCCAACCTTTCTCACTTCCTGAGTGGATTGGCCAGAAACAAAAAGAGCACACTTTTGGTTTACCACTAAAATGGTTTACGCCAAAAGTTTAAAGTCTCAAATCTCAGGACAGCTTCTGAGCGCATGAGGTACAATGGAGGCCATACACCAGGTTTGGGGTGGGTTGGGACAAATAATGAAGCTCGGAGTGCTCACCTCGAAACCTGTGACCTCAACGGACCTGAACCTTTGTTTTTGCAAAAAACAACACCGTTTTGGGGTTACGCCCTTCGATCATTTGGGGCGGGCCCCGTTTTGGGAAGACGACGATGCTGTCCGGTCCTCAAGAAGCACCTTCTTTGAGCTGGAGGCCTGTAGCATGGTTGTTCAGCCATCTTAGAACCTCAAGGGTAATTATGGGCTTGCAACAAAACACGTTGTTTTGCAGCCCACTAAAAATGAAGAGAACCGAAACACCTAAAACACATGATCAAGAGTGAAGTCAAGCAAACTCCCTTTGGCCTCAATTTCAACCAATGAAAAGTCAAAGTGACATCCACATCGAGCTAGACTTTTCACCCCCTCCTGATTGCGCTTTGTTAGACACCCCCAATGCCTCAGATTGAAGTGGCGATCGATTCGCGAGTCGTGCGACGTAATTAAGTGGGCAGTAAACATGGTCGCCCATTTGCCATGATTGTACCACTATTCTGGGCTCTCCTCAGATCCCTTGCTAAAAGCTTCACTTTTGGGATGGGTTAAGCGGAAATCCCCACTAAACACTAAAAAGCTAAGAAGCTAAGGGAGTGGCTGTAAGCTTGCGTTCACTGGGCTCATAGCCATGACACAAACCACAGCGGGGTACCCACATGGTTCATAACCACCCGACTGACTCGATGGATCCCTTGTCACTGGACGGTCCGATTTCTGATCCCCTGCCATCAGTTCAACTTGTCGAGGTCCTCCAGATTTGAGAGGTTAGAACAAGGGCACCGTTTTTTTTCTTCTTTTTGTCCATTTTAGTAGGGGAACCGAATCTCCCAACCAAAAAAAAGGAACGGTAAAAGGGCACTCCTGGGGGACCTGGTTGTGGGTTACATTCGGACACCCAACCGTCTTTCGCCACCTAAAACCCTCCGTACAAACCGTTTCCGGAACCGCACGGCTCACTGGGAACCACCAAACGCGGCCGGAGCCGCCACATCTCGCTGGTCCAGCGGCTCAAGGTCCATGATCTCAGGGCGTCTGCAAGCCACTGTGCTTTTACAGAAATCCGTGTACCAAGCACCTGGGTGAGTGTGTCTGTTTGGGGGTTTGCTTGGTTTTGAAGGGACACCAAAGGGAAACCAAACATTTTGTCGGGTCCACCATTTTTGAGTCGCACCCACCTAGGGAAAAGGGCTGGTGGCCGAAAGAACAATGGAAAAGGAATCTACCTCTGGACCCATGTGCTTGTTTGTACCCCTCACAAGGAGCAATTTGAAAGGGAAGTCAAAGGGACCCCCTCAATGTCCCATCATATTCAGACACGCAGTAGGGTGGCTCATCCTTTTCTGAGGATACCAATCTTTTGGTTGGCTTCAAAGGTAAACAAAAAGGACACCCACCCACCAGTTTGGGGGTACCCTCAAAAGAACGACACCCCATATGACGGCCTGCCCTTAGGTTTATGAGTGAACCATCCACTAATCATGGCTTAATCATGGGCAACCAGCCCCCAAAGGGGACCATTTTACATCTCGGTCATAAAATCTTCAAATTTTGACTCCTTTCAAGGGATCCTATCCCAGCACCCGTCGACATGTCGACTTCCCGGATTCCCAAAAGGGAGCATTTGCTTGGCCTTTGAGGCATGACATGTTCTGTACGATGGTCGAAACTCGAGGCATGTTGCCATCAGCAACCTGTGGCCTTCTGACGGCACATGTGACAGGTAGGTCAAAACCATGGCCTACTTTGTCAGCCATCACTTGTAAACTAAACCAACAACTTGTTACATGCTCCCGGACAACCCGTGGACCAC